CCACAGATGCTTCTCTGGATTCCTCTGAGGAAAGCTCAGCCACTGGTGAGATCTCACTGATAATTTAAAAGTAGGACAACAGAGGTGTGCTTGAAAGGAAAAAACGAAATCATAGCCAAATAATTCAGGCCACAAAAATTGTCAGATTTCTCATAAATCAGTGTGTTCTTCTCTTTTTGTTTCAATCTGCAACAGATTGCCCAAGGAGGCTGTGGATGCTCCATCCCTGGAGGCATTCAAGGCCAGGCTGGATGTGGCTCTGGGCAGCCTGGTCTGATGGTTGGCGACCCTGTACATAGCAGGGGGGTTGAAACTGGATGATCGTTGTGGTCCTTTTCAACCCAGGCCATTCTGTGATTCTGTGATTCCATTATTCTATGGTTCTATAAAATGTAACATAAACAGGAAGATAGCACTTTTGGTATCAAAATAAGTCAAAAAGACATTGTCTTGATGCAGCTCATAGGAAACAGAGGCAGATTCTTCTGTATTTATTTTCTATCGTTTTGCCCAGACATGTTCAAGATTCACTAAACCTCATCAAACGTGTCCTTCTGCATACTTAAACAGTAAATGACAGCATAGTGATCAGCTGTGTTTTGTTCTTCTCATTAAAACATCATTTATAAACTACTTTTAAAAAATCTATTTTTTTTTTTTTTTTTAATTTGAAAAGTAAAAAGAAAATATCTTTCAAATCTCATGTATTGGTTAGAATGAAGCAATGTACTTCTAAGGCCGATTGTCATACACATATGTTATTTGTTTGCATAGATAAGGTAGTACAAATGCATTTTAAGCTGCTGTATTCAGCCAGCAGAGACATTTCTGGGGTCCCAGACACCATACTCCAAGATTCCAGTACTTGGGTTTTTTCACTGTATCAGGGAGGTGTCCACTCCTGTTTTCAGTGGCATGCACCTAGCAAGAGATTCTGTGTCACTTACAGTGACTTTATGTGCCATATAGTCTGTGCCTTCTCAGGGCTCTTTTGCAAGCCCATGTCCACCAGTGAGCAATTAGTTGGGGGGGTTGTTTCCAAGTTGCTAACAAGCCTGCAAAGCAAGACTGAATTAACTTAAACTGAATTCTTGAATGACTGCAGATAGATGCCAGCTTTTTGTCAAGCACTGTAGTATATGGAGAAAGAAACCACACTTAGCCCAAGCAATGCAGATTTTGAAAAAAATGGAAAGAAGGTAAAATCAGAGAATAGACATAATTATACAACACTGTCTGAGTTTATCAACAAAAAAAACAGTCAATATATCATTTTTCATTTATTACACAAACAGTAATTAAGCTCTCACTAATAACTGAGCTGAGTGAGAAATTATTCAACCCATACTTACCAGTCCTACTGAACCAAATTATGCTTTATTTGAGTTCAAGGGTTGGTTCTTGACAATTAAGATTTTAAAACAAGACATATTGATTTTCCTAACTTCATTTTGAAAGCATTTCATCTTCTCCTATAATAATACAATAATTTTAGGAGTAAAAACAGACTTGGGACAGAACACTGTATATATATTGTTACATGATTATAGACTCGATGAGCTATGAACTGTGAAGAATCATAACACCATTTTGAATGACCTCTTATAACTCTGAGATGATTAAATTTCATTTGATTTTCTTTAATTCAATCTAACAGGTTTTATTTAATTAAATTGCATAGAATATGTTGTGCATGTACATTGTATGTATTCATACAGAATTATGCAAGTGAATAGAATGGTGTAGTAATAGATTTATAGTTGTGGCTAGCAAATAAGATGATAAAACCTAATGAGTTGAGGGAATATCTTCCAAGTGAGGAATTCATCTAAAGAAAACACACTGTTTTTTCCTAGAGATCAATGTTAAGAAAATTCAGCCTGAATCTTAGTTGGAGAGCTAGCTCAAAAATTCAGAAGAGAGAAGCTACTACTGTAGTGATTCTGTTTCCAAAAGGCTCACACGCTCCCAAATAATATGATTTCCTCACTCTTCAAAGCTTCTTTCAGTCAAGTTCTGTCAGATATCACCCAGATAGGTTTGACTTAATGTTAAGGATAACAATGGTTAGTTAAGGATAACAATGGTTAGAGAAAAGGTAGTAGGAAGAATTCAGTCAGACAAAGACTGAGACAATCATTTTGCAGTTCACAGAAATGTCATTTACTCATTGTCTTTTGCTTTGGCTGAGCTGGTACTCCTCCCAGAAGGAGGCAGGAGTAACTCATCAGTCCGACCACCACTAAATCATCAGTGGCCCCACACATCTTGTTGAAAACAAAAACATCACTTTTCAGTTTATACAAGAGCTTACCTAAATTTTGCAATCAACAAGGGCTTCTAGTGTGATCTGGGCCCTAAAATGAGCCTTCAAGTAGCATAGCCACTTGAATCAGCCTTGGAAATAATGTAGGATAAACCCATTTTATCTTAGCCCTTCAGAACTTCTTTTCTATTTTACATGGGACTATAGCCCATGTGATTGAAACATATACTTGACTCTAATATTAAGTAGAACCCAAGCTCTTGAAGCTACCATCAGTTCTGCAACCAGAATATATCTAACAAGGAAGTTCAACATAGCAAAAGGCTCAGAGAGATCTATGACAGCCAGGAATTAACTACACTCCTCAGCTTTATGCATTCCCAGAACGAAGACTAAGGCTGCTATTATAATGCAAAAACTCAGGTTATGAATGGAAGCTGATGTACTGAAAGGTGGTTTTTTTTTCTAAAATTACCAATTGTCTAACCAAAGAATAGATTTTAGTTTATATATATTTTAGTACTATTCATTTTGAAGTTGATGGCACTTTGCTTGAGATAAGGCTGTTCTGACAGTTGACACTGTGATTCCTGTTCAGTCAAGGATGATGCGTTTTTCTGTCACATAGTTGAGATTCCTTTTCAAGACTTAATTCAGAACTAGCAATCCTTATCATCAGAACAAACAGTAAGTGAACTAATGCTACCACTTGTTCTCATGAAGGATTCTCATACCAACAGTTACCTATTTACTGACCTCTATTTCAACAAAGTCCCTTATCTCAAACATGTACTTGAGCTCAAAAGCAGGCTTGTTCAGCTTGTTAGTTTCCAAATTAAACCACGTTGGAGTAAAGAATTACCTGTCCTTAAATTAAGATGTGAGCTACTCTTGTAATGAATAAATAACACCAATTCTTTTATGCATAAACTCCTAAGACTAAACAAAGCGCCTCCAGAATCCAGCCACCACTTTTGCCAGAACACTGCTTACTTGTAGTTGTGGCAGCTGGGATTTAGGCTGATCTCATTACTTGTAAATTTCGAAGATATAAATGTCTTATAGAAGACATTCTAAATTTGTGGGGAATTAAATCCTTTACACTGGACCATACTTCCATCTGTGGAAAAATAAAATGCATATATGTGCAGGTATATATATATGTGTGTGTGTGTGCCTATGAAAGTATATAACTTTGTATGTGCATAAAATATTTTGGTTCTTCTATCAGAGTTAGGTGCAGTTTTCATTAAGCATCCCATTGAAAAGGGTTTAAACTAAAGCACTTCAAAATAACAGGCTGTCAAAATAACACCTCTGTTTGAAACTGAATTGCTTTCATCTCACCATTTCTCACAATTAGTGGCAAGTGTAAAACACCCCACTCCAAAAAAGAGGCATGCCCCTCTTACTAGCCTGAAAGTACAGTGACGTATTAGACCTGAAATTACAGAAGTGCTTAGGTAAAAAAATGCAAATTTCAATTTCAGTGGGATATTTAATCACTCACTGATTGCACATAAACTATTAACATGCTGTGACCCTCAGGTTAGGCTGTGCATAGATTTTTGCTTCTCAGCTACTCTTGTGAGACACCAGCATCTTCTTCCCTAAATCCACAGATGCATGCTTCTGTGGGAAGGAAGGAGACAGCCATGCAAACAGGAAAGGAGCCCCAGGACTCTCTAGCCAAGTGCAGGGATAGCACTGCCATCAAAGCGATGGAGTGCTCCATGCCTCTTAGCACAGCTTTGCAGGACTGGTACTTTCTGCAGCAAAGAACAAATGAGGTCTGTTTTAGGAGGAAGCCTGCTTAGTACATTTTGAAGCCTGAGTTTGAGAGATAGAGAGTATGCAAAGGTTTTTGTTTATTGTGTTAATATTGCTTGTGGGTTTAAATGTACGTTGATTCTGGAAGTCTTAGATGCTTACATAGGAGAGGAAAGAAATGTGACGTTCAAAAGCATAGTATAAATGCAGTATATCAGATGACAGAAACTGTGCTGTCTGTGTCAATGGACATGAGATGTGGCAAATCTGTTTTTATTGTTGTTAATTTCACTTCAGTTGCTTTGTTTTTACTTGTTTGTGAACTCTCCCAGCTATAATTGTTTTTGAGAGGGTCTCAAAAGCAAATTAAGTAAACAATTCTCTTTAACTTCAAAAAACAAAGAGTATATTTTCCTGCATAAACCTCTCAACTACAGTTTGAAATGCAGCAGGGTGAACATGGTTATACCTATATACTATGGCAGAAATCCAATATTCATCTGTGGTACGTATTGAGAGAAAATGAGATCATTAAGGTTGGAAAGAACAGCTGCTTTAATTATAACACCATAATATATCATATCAAAGTATTCATCATCTCACACAGCCCCCAAGAATATACGCCAGGGATTCATTTCTATCATCTTGCTACTTCTTGGGACAGAGAACACATAAGCACACTCCAGAGCTCTGGCTGCTTCAAGTGGTGTGATGCTGTGTAAAATAATTGCACCCCAAGCTCGATAATGCTATGGCAACTATTATTAATCTAACTTTTACAGGCCCTGTTCCTCTTTCGGTAGTGGTGGTGGAAAGGGGAGACATTCCTGCTGACTGGGATCTACACTGAAGGCAGGTTCCCCACTGTCACACATCCTCACACTGCTGTCCGAAGCGCTCGGTCTGCCTGAGGCACCTGAAGGTACCTCTTCTTTAAGGGAATGGCTGCTTTGTGTTTTAACAGATGCTATGCTTCTGGTAGCGGAGAGATTAGAGGGACCATTCAACATTGAATCAGTCATGGATCCTATTGATGTCAAGATTTCTGAAGCCATCATGAACATGCAAGAAAACAGCATGCAGGTGTCGGCAAAGGTACTGTGTGGGTCACGCCTTCTCTGTTGCTCACTATCACAAGGAGGAGAAAAAAACTTATCCAGCACTTTTTTTCTGCCCAGGCCTTAAGAGAGATTGTCCAGACAATAGAAATTACATTTGTTCGTTCAGTAGTTCACTGGGATGCCTTTGAATCCTTTGTCTAGTTAAACAAGCCTGAAGTTTTTAAAATGAAGACAATGGGAGAAAAGTGTCATTTCGCAAACTTCAAATTAATAGTTGCAAGAACTTTGGGGAAAACAGACACTGCTAAAAATTAGAGGTAACTGTAATACTCAATACTCAGCAGAGTGCACTCAGTAAGCTCTGCCTGTTCTTATCTGTGATTCCCCATATTAACATCCACACACATTTTGATCTGTTTAGGTCAGGCTACAGCACAATGTGTTTGAGGTGAACAGAAAATGATCCATTTAACCTCCTTTAATATCCTCTCCAGGGAAATATCATTACATTGGACAGCCTCTGATTAGCAGACCTCAGTTTGATGGAGTTTTGTCTGGATTCTGACATAAAGATAAACAGAGTTAATGATACCAGCGTCCTCCTTTCCATTTTTAGTGTGTCTGTGTACACAGACCACCGCCACCTCTGAACCCCATATTAATAAGGTCCTTTGAATTCAGTAGCAGGTGCTGTTGAGGCAGCAGTCACCAATTAATGTCTTTTCCTTAATATGCATCAGTGCACTGCAGTTAACAAAACTGAAAGTCAACAGTTTGCCAGGTTCTCTGCACTGAGAGTTTCCACCCACATGGATTTCCCAGCAGCCAGTTAGGTGCTGGCGAGATGGCTACCTGAGTCGGTGAGTTTCCATTGTTTGAAAGGAAGTTGCCCTGGCTAGGAAAATTGTGGGGATAAAAGGTTAATATTCTTCCTGCCAGTCCAAAATTAGATTATTTTACAGGCCCACTGCAGTGGGATTATAAAAATTTCCTTCAAGACGCTATTACTTTCAACTTCCCTGAAGTTACTTGGATTTTGAAAGTAGTCTACATCCTGAGCAATGAGACTTTGTTCTGGCAGCAGTGATCAATGAGTTTATCAGCCAAACATTTGGGGAATCAAAGGCCAGCTTCAGAAAACTCAGCCCTTACCTCAGAAAAGAAACAGAAAATATTTTCACTGAAAGCTGACCAAAGGCTCAGGTGTATTTCCTTTTCATTTGCTCCAATATCACAGCTTTTCTGTTAGTCAGGAAACTGCATTCCCTGCCAGAATCCAATGACATCACCTTGGCACAAGCTCATCACAGTACTCATTTGCAATAGAGGAGGCTGTATGTCATATCCCTCAGAAATATTTTATTTGCTGTAAAGATTAATAAATCACTGAAATTCCATTTGCACTCTAAAGTTTTTCTTCTAAGAGAAATATTATCCAATATTTTCTCAAAACTATATCAGTGAAATTTATTTTTCCACATTTTCACGGATAACTGAGCTGTCTTTGCTTGAGGGGCTTTTGTATTTTCTCTTTAGACCATTATTCTCCAGAAATGCATTTTCCTTGTTTTCCTAGGTTACATCCCTCTTTTTTCATGCCCTGACACATAGAAGTGTTTTATTATTCAAGTATGAGAGAGCAAAGTCTTGGGGTTCAGTTCTGTGATCTTCTACGTCTGTCATGTCAAATCTATAGAGATGATGTATGAGCAGACTTTGCACCATCCATCTATTGCCTAATTTTTCTCCCTTATACATACTGACCACTTAGATCTTCAGTGAAAATGACAGATACCTTACCAGATGTAACGGGGTGCACAGAATGCAATTGCAGATCTAATGTAGGAGAAAAGCCACGCTTGTCAAATATTCTGAGACTCTGCTCAGCAAGCTTCAGGCAGGGTGTTGAAATCATGCTATTTTCTCTTTTTTCAAACAATTTTGTACCTTGCATTTGACTGTATCCACTGAAAATGTGGTGACTGGAAAAAATCACAGCCTATTTTCCACAAGTCAGTCAATGCATTTTTACAATGGGAAAATGATGATGCACGAACATCATGCTTGCAACACCCACATACACATACATTATTCTTCACCACTGACATGCATCCTTTCCTAACTGAAAATCTGTCTGATGTCTACAAAGAGTCTCTAAGCTTTGTTCAGTAGTACTTAAGGCCATTTTGTATTTTGTTTCTCTCTTCAAAGGAATGGGAAAATTTACAACAAACAGTAGTTTTTTCAAGTAACTCTCACTAATCTCATCTCCTTTTCAGACAGAAGACCCAGAGATCAGTTAAACTAATATCCATCCCTCTCCTTTTTGAAGCATTTGAGTAAATTGCTCTGTTCCAAAAGTCATTCCCATTAAAACTATCAGTTTGCCTTTGTTTTGCAAGATATATGTTTTGCATTATACCATCTGCAATTATATATTGGAATTTATTTGAGAAAAATATGTTAGGTATAATAAATTTGCTGTACATTACTGTGCATAGGGAGGCAAAATTCAATGATGTGTGCTTTCCAACATAATAATTGTATTACAATATGCACAACCTATTCAGAACTAGTTTTCTGAGAAATAATCTTCATGGTTACAGTTGTACTGATAAATAAAAGGGGGATAAAGAACAGTGCCTGACCTTGAGGCCCGAGTGCTATAGACCAATTCATTTCTATACTGCTGAGATCTACATTCTTTGAAGTTGTTTCATTCAGCAAAGAACAAGTAGGAGCAGTCCAAGAAAAAGCCAATGAGCTAACAATTAATCAGTGCAGACAGACAGGGCTTATTGCTGGAGTTCACATCTTGTCTTTCATTTCCTTAGGAGATACAAACCCTCTGTCTTTCACTCTTGATGGGTGCACATCAATATTGAAACAAAATTGTAGAGGTGCCACAAATATCTCTTCTATCTTTGTATTCCTGACCAAGGACATACAGTCCCAGCCATATCCCTGTACCTGTCACTGCATTAAATGGAGCATCTCTGCTCCTAGGTCATTGACTTTTCTTGTTTGTAAGCTGACTGTAGGTCATTCTTTCAGCACAGTTCACATTAACCAGGTACTAGTATTATGCTAAGATCTTCCAATTCATCCTGAGGCTGGAATCCTCTGTTTTCTTGACAGTCTATATTCAGCACTGGCTGTTTAAAAAGTCTGGCCACAAATCTCTAAGCTTCATATGCAGCTCACCTTGTGTGGCTGTCATGTCCCTGAACAACATCCTCAAGAGGTCTTTATTTTGCCTCAGGGAAAGTCACATTTCTGACAGCTGCAATATTTGGAGATGCTTTTCAGAAAGTACCAATGGTTCACAAAGTCAAACCCCAAGGCCTACTGCAAGAGAAATCTACATGCTCTGAATCAGATCTGAGTTTCCCTTTTCCAGAAATATGCAAAGACTAAAGATCGTCACAACCAAATTCCATCACTTTATCATCTAACACTCACAGCCATCCTGACAGAGTACCTTCTGCAAACCATCCTTGCAGAGTTAAAAAAGCTGTCAATCTAGGCTGTCTGTATGTTTTAAATGTAGGCTTGGCTAACTGGGTCTACTCAGACTTCAGTAGTCTCTGAGGGCAATATCTGGTAATAATCAGGTTGCAACACGAGGAAAAATTTCTTCACTGTGAGGCTGACAGAGCACTGACTTGAATGGGCTGTCCCAAGGTTGTGGTGTCTCCTTTTCCAGAGATATTGGGACCTACCTGCACACCAGCTGTGCAACCTGCTCTAGGGAATCTGCTTTAGCAATGGGGTTGGACTGGGTTATTTCCAGAGGTCCCTTCCAACCCCTGTGATTCTGCAATTCTGAATGAAGTTGTGCTTCTCCTGATAATGTCTGAGACATCTTATTTTTATTACTGAAATCTCTGTCATTCAGCAGTGACACGTATTTGTGATCTGAAAATAAAAGTGGTATAATTAGTAAATCTATATATTCTTACTCATGGCTCAGCTCATATTCAAAGTGTAGTCATAGCATACATATGCTTAACTCTTATTCTCCTTCTCCCAGAGAATATTCAGGGAGTTATCAAATATCTATGATCTTTTTCAATCCTTGCCAAAACAAACTTGCTTGAAGTTCTTCACAAATGTCCCATAAATCTGGCAGTACCTTTACCTTTCTTGCTTGCTTGAAGTAAAAGAGCAAATCCTACACTTCAGTAATATAAATATTTAATATCTGACTTCTGCAAGTGGAAGAAAGCTCACAAAACAGCAAAAAAGTGCTGCAATTCCTCAAAATGCAGAAAATTCCCAATTTTGTTGTATTTGTGTAATTTTCCTTGTTCCTCAAAACACAATGTATATTGGGCTATTTTCCACATTTTAAACCATCTGGTTTTATAAATATTTGCTTGACTGCTCTAAGTGTTATTTGGATACCATGCCAAGATTTTTGCTCTTCCATAAAGGCTATCCCCATAGCTGAGTCTCCTATTAGTGAGTCTTAAATCATCTTCTATCTAAGCTGATGGACGTGCCATTTTAATCTACAGATACATGTTCCTTTTTGGCAATTACTCCAGTTAAAAGGACGAATGAGCTCCATGACATAGCGGACTACTTATGTATTATTTATAAGGAGGAAATCTTCATAAAACTACTCGTCCAACTCTCTTCTTAAAATAGCCCTAGAGTTTCATATTAACAAAACCTCTTCATTTATCTGTGTTCTTTCCAGAGCCCTGTACTTTAAGAATATAATGGCACTTCAGGAAAAAAATCAATACTATTCTATTTGAAGATGAGAGAGTCAATGGAGCAAAGTTGTATGGAGGCATTCAATAGGAAACACTGAGCGCTAGTACATCTAAATAATAGTATGACTCAAAGCTTCATAGATTCAGAAATTCTTTCTTCTGGGATTCAAAATAGTGAGTTCTCCTAGGAAAAGAACTCCTTTTTCACAGTATCTACTCACTCATCCTGAAGTAGATAGCTCCATTTAGTCAGCTCAATAGAAGTAATTTTACACTGGCTCCGCTGATTTGATCACATGGCTTCATTCAAAGCCCCTGACCACAGAGGTTTTCTGCTCTTTGTGGCACCTTAGGATGCATCATATGAGCTTCAGCTGCAGTTCAGAGAGGAATGGTCTCCCATGTGTCTTGTGTTAAGACAGCCTTACCAGATGTCAGATATCCTAGGATGATTATAGACGCTGATGAGAAAGCAACCAAAGGGCAATTTTCATCTCCACTGCCTAAAAGTGGGTGTTTAGCTCGAAAACAGACACCTACATTCATACACCTAGACCTTGATTTCTTAATTTCAAGAGGAATTGCTTCTCCAAATTCAGATGAAGTGGACAGCACCAATTATATATAAAGTACATTTTTTTAAAGAGTGGATTTTTGCTGCTAACTCACGTCATTTGTAATGGAATACCAGTATATTTTCCTATAAATTGTTCTGAACAGCTCTGTGAAGTACTTAATGTGCTTCTTCTTAGGGAGCATTTGTTAATTTCAGGTATCAGCTTTACATTTTCTGTCTTGTCAGTTCATGCCTGTATGCAAATTAGAAAATGTGGTTTTGGCACTCAAAATTTAGTTACAGATCATTGCATCCTTACTGCATTTTTGCCAAGTCATTTAAAAACTAAATGATTTCTTCTTCTGTGATCTAAAAATTGCTATCTAATTTCTACCTCTGTTATTGTCTGGTTTTAAATAATTTTGTTCACACAAAACTACTTACTGCTTACAACTATGAAGTGAAATGCCACAATATCTGTGTTACTTTTTCCAATATGTCACAAGAGAAATTAAATTATGCAGACTTATAGCTATTCCACATGATCATACAGGTAGCCTAACACATTCTGTGAAAATTAAGAAGACTTAAGGCCAGGCTGGATGTGGCTCTGGGCAGCCTGGTCTGATGGTTGGTGACCCTGCACATAGCAGGGGGATTGAAACTGGACAATCATTGTGGTCCTTTTCAACCCAGGCCATTCTGTGATTCTTCTATGATTGAGTATCCACAATTTCCTCTGAAATTCAAGTTGCAAAATTGCCATTTGTCTCTGTAAGCAAACAGCTTGATTGTTTAGTTGGCCAAGAGGGACTTCATAGATACCTAAATAAACAGTTAAGATTCTCATGCATAACTTATCTATAGTCAGAAGAAATGTGTAAATTTTTCCCAGCACATATATTTGTCATTTGGACAAATAGTTTGTGTTTGGCATTACAGTTTTATAAAAACCAGCTTACAATAAATGATGATGTTTAATTTCTTTTTCTTCAGAATGATGGCAAAATGTTAAAAGTAGTCAAACTGTAACAAAAAAGGGTTATTCCAGAAGTGAAAAAGATGGCATTAAGGCAAACACTAAGATCCTATTTCATCACAAAACTTGAAAAAATGTTATTGCATGAATATTCTACCTCCTTTCAGTTGACCGGCTTCTGTAAGAGTTCCTCTGGGATACATACCTAATGCTCACGGTCAAATGTGTCTTCTATTCACATTAGGATGCACATGATATATGCAACTGAAACTTCATTCCAAATGAGAGAATATGAAAAATCTCACAACTCTGAACATTATCTTCATACCTAGAAAACAAACACACTTCCAGATAACTATTCTCACAGTTGCCCACTAAATACAGCTATAATCATCTCTCGTATCAGGCCAGCTAGGAAATAAGAAAATAATCTAGTCATATGACTCTTTCATCACTGACCTTTTCTTTGAGACTACAAACAAAATCACCAGATAGGAATAGCTGTAGAGAAGGATTATGAATGAACTATGATTTTGTGTAAGTACCATGTTTAACAAAAGCTGAAATCGTTATTAAACAAGTCCTGTCACAAAGGGCTCATTTGTGCTTTCAAGTGTTAACTTCTTAGAATAATCACCTTCATGAAGTAGGTGTTTTTTAAGGACCCTATCTGTTCTTATGTACTCGTTGAGTAATTATTAATGCTTAATTATTAAACTGAGTTTTTGAGCAAGTGCTCTACTCACTGTTACGAAAATGTCAGTAAAATAAGAAGTTTCAAATATATGAGAGTAAAAAGAGGATGTAAAACACCAGCCTCCCTCTTTTTTATGGCTGTCATGTAACCTACAATATCTTTTTCAGGTTTTCCAAGGATGTGGTCAGCCTAAGCCAGCACCTGCCCTGAGGTCTTCCCGTTCAGTCTCTGAAAACTTCAATACACGGTTTAGACCATATAACCCAGAGGAGCGACCTACAACTGCTGCTGGCACAAGTTTGGATAGGCTGGTAAGGCAAAATGTACTTCATTCTTCAATAAGTAGAAATGGTTTGGTAATACAGTAGAAGAATGATAATCTCTTGACACATTTTTTTTTAATAATTTCATAATCACTTCATATAGTTTCTGTGCCAACTGTTCTGGCATTCAATAACTTTTTTTCTCCCATTGGAAATACAACAGAATTGCATTCTAGGAGAACAATATGACTCACTTTTTATGTATTAGAAATGTTAGAAGACAATAAATTCTTTCCTGTAAGCCAAAAATTAGATGAGCCAAGAAAGGTACTTTGCAATACGAATTCTCTTTGAAAAGTAATCTGCAATAATACTTTTTTTTTTTTTTTTTTTTTATTAAGGTATTTAAAATATCTAATACATCTTTAGCTGACAGTTCAAGACATCCACTTGCAAAGGCACGTTGATTTGTTCCACTCCTTCATTTAATAATAAAATAACAACTACTTTATTTCCATCCATCTCAAAAATTGACTTTTATCAGCTGAAACATGAGTGATCATTAATCTTGTTTTATTTAATCAATCATTTCAAAAACAAGACTTTAACACAAGATTATTTTCTCCACTACCAGTCATCAGATTTTCATTTCAGATTATGATGCTCCTGCTATTTATACATCTAAAGATTTATAGTAGGCTAATTATTATAGCTTCTAATACTATCTCAGCAATTATCTCAAAATAAGGCCAATGGGTAAAATTAAAGACTTGTAAAGCATCTGAATCAGACAGTATAGCACAGCCTCTGCTTGCCATGGTTATTGCTGAATACTTGTACAGCACTGGTCTGTCTTTTAGAAGAGACTCATGTTCAGGCTGCAGGAAGAGTGAAAGAAGAGAAGCAACCCATTGGGAATAGCAGCTGGTAGCTGGGCCTGAGCATTTGGTGGGATGTCATTCTGCTGAGTGCCTGACAGATTTGAGCTGCACTGCAGCATGACAGTGCCTTGCTATGGTTCTGATTGTGAGTCTAAACTATCTAGAAGTTATTCCAGTAAGCACCAGACACCCAAATACACTAATTCAATCAGGATCTGAGTCTCTCCTTGGACCATAATTCCGTAAATTCCTTTGATAATCACCACAATATTCCATACCACAGATCACACCAAAGTCTTTCCAAAAGCCTATGCTGTAGCCCATCCATTAATCTACTGTATTCCCTCAATCTCTGTTGCAATTCAAATGAAAACTATCAACTTTCTAGTCAGGACATGGGATTGCTCTGCAGCTAAACCCAATATTTTGAGTTCTCTTTTTCCCTGGAAATGGTATAGCTTGATTATCCTAAAATGAGGAACAGAAAAGATCTCTGTTGTACAGTTAGATCTCTCTAACACAGTAGATTCATAACACAGTATAGCATCTTGGGCTAAAAATCTTGCTGGTAATGCTCAATTCATATTTGACAGTATCTTAATTTTACCCTATCTCTTGAGATTCACAGAAGCAGTCCTTTTTGCTTGGTGCAGTGTAGGGCCTGGATCTTAACTCGAACTTACCAAGTTGAAGTTAAAGGTCATTGAAGCAAGCAGACTTTAGTCATGCTCTGGTCAAAGTTAAAGGCTGAAAAAGAGTAAGGTGAGAGGAAAGCCACAAAGGGAAAGAAAGGCTGGTAGCACAGGTCCACTTGCTATATTGTAAGAACTGTTGGAGCATTTTTGCACTGAAAAACGCTTCATAAGATCTTCCATGTTCGCTTCTAAATATTGTTGTCTTTTTACACTACAAACTTCCAAAATACTGGGCAGCATCTTGAATAAAGCACTAATGTGAGACAGATATGCTGCTGGCCTTTAAAGGCTATAACAAATGAAAACTGCCAGTGAAGGCAATCCCTCATTACTCAAAATAACTTCTAGAATTTCAAAGGGGATTTTTCCCTATGCAATTTAACTAGCTTTATTGAGGCATTATTTCAGAAAAAGAAAAATAATAATAATAATTTAGCGTTATTGCTTTTTCTGTGACGAGTTATTACAGGAAAATGGTTATTTGTCTTTCTTGCTGGTGATATTTAAAATAGTAACTATTCATGCCCTGTTAGCTATGTGTGTGGGTATCAAATCCATCTCCAAACGGCAGTGATACATGTGTTGTCTCCTTTTGGGTTGAGAGCAACAATCCCCGAAACTTGAGATGGCCACTGATCTGAGCTGGAGCCAGGAAAGGCTGTTTATGTGGATTAGGGCAGAAGGCCTTGTTTCAGAGCTGTAATCCCTTAGCAACACTTGGGAAAGGTCACTGCCTACATCTCACACCATCCTCGGTAATTTTATCCAAAAGGATATAAATGTTGCACTCCTGCCTCACAGGAGCACCATTCAACCTGCCTACATTAGACTCTCAGTGTGTTATGCGATGAATCATTCCTTAAATCACATATCTCTCTTCACTAATTATAGACAGAACCTGGAAGACCAGCTTCAGTTAGATCCTCCCCATCCTTGCATCACTAACAGGACACAGAGAATCCCACTCAAAGCAGTTTTCCAGTCTGCACGCTGATCATTTCCTATTGCTTATTAAATACAAATGTACAGCAGGATGACAATTTTGATAGTAGTGTCAAATGTTTAAAGCCCCGTTTGATTATTATAGATGTAAGAAATACAAATAAGGAGTAATTATTATCTGCTTTTATGTAGAAGAACTTTCCCTCATTGAGTCAGCCTTACATTAATGCTGTTAGAAGTCTATTCTGGATATTTTATTCATAAAACACTGTTAGACCATTTAAGTTTTAACTGTCACCACAAAGTCCAAACATCCAGCTATGCAAGCCTCAAAAGGAGAAGTAACAAACAATTCTGCTTTCATGTCTTTGACAACATGCCCTTAGAAGTGACTGAGCTTAGAAAATATTTCCTCTGCATCTCAAGTAGGTAGAATATCTGAATCAATTTTTAACTCATGCTCATATTCCTGTTTATGAGCTTAATTCAGTTGAGCATATTTTATCAGGTATGTTGCAGAAAGCAGATCTCTCATAAAGAGTCTATAGTGAAACAGTCAGGTACTGAACCCTTCTGAAAACGCGCTTCTTCATCCTTGCTGAACTTGTTTAATTAATCCAGCTATTGCATTTCAAGAAGAGAGGTTTCCATGTGTTATTGTCACAGTGTTAAGAAAAGCTTAACAAAGAAAAAATAGATCAAAATTAATTGTGAGAAATGTGAAAAAGCCCTAAAGCACATGTAGGTGAATTTAAATGTATTGGTTGTATTTAGGAAGTCAAATAGATATTGAGAGAATTGTCTAAGCATGGGTGTAAAGCACTATCTGAGACTCCTGACTGTACTAGAAACAAGGGACTGACTGATGTGGTGAGAAGATTCAGGTATCTCCAAAGTAGCTAAGGGGAGCCAGGTAGAATATGCTGCAGCATCTCAAGCAGAACCTATGTTCAGGCAATTACATCAGGTCTTCTCAGCATGGGGCCTAAAATCCAGGCTCTTTCCAAAGTCAATGGAGAGAGACGTATGTCTTCAGAGAGTGACTTACCCCAGCAGCTACAGACACTGCTCACCGAGTGGGAAATGAAAGTCTCAATTTAGTTATCCACATTTAGATATGCAACGCTGTTTGAGATGCCTCAGGGTATCTAGAACATCAGACTGAGGTGGCAGTTAGGACAGTCCTTCAGGATGCCTGTGTTCTCCTGGGCAGCGGTTGAAAATAAAGTAGGATACCTAAGATGCCTACTATCTGGCATCTGACTGTCAGATCCCCTTGTTGGGATTCAGCTGCATAAACAGTCACTTAATACTACTTGTAACACCTATGGTTTTCAAGATGTCTAAATGTTACTAGAAAAAAACACAGAAAGCCTGTCTGGAAGCAAGATGGAACCTCAAAGCTACTGAATTTATTTTACATGCCTATATTTAGGTAACACTGAATGTACTTTGTATGCCTATATTTAGGGAACTGGATTCCAACCTATTTCTCTCCTGGTTATAACAGAAGCCAAAATAAGGAGTTTAGTGATTAAATGTAGAGATCAGTAGTATAAATATATACAACTGTCTTTCCAATTTTGATGCCTATCTCAGATTTGAATATCTATTTTTCATTTTTAATCGAGAGAAATGATGGCCATCATTCATTTGTCTAAACATAGGTTTATGCAATTGAGATGTGATTAAATATTTCTAAACTATAATTTAGCTCATAATGTATATATTTAAACCTCTCCAAGAAATCATTTCCCAGCTCTCTTCTACAAAGTGCCAAATAGTGACAACTTTAGGCTAAGGCATCTAGCAATTGCATCTAATGTTAAGACAAATAGTGTCAGAAATTAAATAACTTTAACCGTGGCACTCATCTGCTTCTGTAGAGTACGAACTAAGATTTCTTATTTAATATATACTGCTTTTAAAAACTCTTTATCTTCTCTGTGGTTGCCTGTTTGGTATAACCTGTTTTGTTTTTCTTTTCTTTTGTTTGTTTTGTTTCTGTTTTGTTTTATTTCATTTTGTTTCTTCTGTTCCCTGAATCTGTTTCCCTCTTGCTTCCCAGAGGACTATCTGGAGGACAATGCAACATGGTGTAAGCTTTGGTATTCTTATTCTTCATCTTCATTCCCATTTGTCTTTGTACAGTGCTGGGCTAAACAATTCTTTAAGTTTCAGATTCACCATCTTTCCTTTCTGTGTCTCAAGTAGGCTAAAACACTAGCAGTAATTTTACACTAAGTCATTTGGTGCTGCCCAGAGCTTAGGGCTGCTGATTCTTTCCAAACAGGGGTGCATTCCCTCAGTGAACTAAAAGCTGCCCTAAGTGCCTACATTATCTCAGCCACCATATATGCATGTGCAGCAAAGCAGACACTGCAGTGGCACCAAGCTCTGGGGCCTGTGTGTTGAGATAGATAGCACTCAAGCAAAGGAAACAATCTCCCAGGCCATCCTAGGTTCCCTAAAGCTATCCTTGTCTCACTGTCTAATCTTGGGCAAACCACTTAGATGCTTTGTGTGAGTT